GCACGACCCGCGCGCGTACAGCTACCGGGGGATCCACACGAGGGGCCCGGAAAGCTAGCGCCGTTACACGTTCATTGTTGGGGCTGGGTTTACAAGGGCAGCTTGTTAGTCCGATTGCAGTTGACACTCTGAAAGAGGCGCCAATCTGAGCAATCGCAGCCAGCACCCCAGCCGGTATGTCCACGCAGAAAGCCACAGTGCGGGGATATCAATGTGTAAAGGAGTCCAACAGGCATTACTGCTGGGACTGACGCCATCGTCTCAAAGCCCCACAATCTCTCTTCTTCAAAATCTCCGAACCACTGACACACTGAGATGCACTCACCAGCAGTGTGTTGGCCATCAAGTCCATGCTTACATAGTTTGTAATGCATTGGACTAGCGGGTTCTTAGCCCGCACCGAAGCCAGAGCGGCCCACACATCGGCGCCATGAGTGGCAGCCGTCATTGTGTAGCGGCAGATTCAGAAGCTGGCCAGGCTTGCTTGCTATCCCTATTAGGAACGATGAACGCTCTTCCTCGAATACGTCTCACTTGGGTTGCTGCAAATTGCAACGCACTGCAGCATTGTAGCATTGATTCTGATGAATGCAGAGCTACTGGAATGAAGTGGATTTTTAAACAGCCTCGATCAGGTCGTAACCCTGTGTTATATGTGGATCGCGCTGACTATCGCCATCCTTGTGGAGATCTGGGAATGCTTAACCGCAGCTTGGCTGACCTTCATTACCGTACAACTTGCAGGCAGCACTGCTGTGAAAAATTGTAGATTCTCAGCGCGCGCAGCGCGATGAGAATCGCGGTTCTCTTGGCGCGAACCGCTTCAAATTTGCAATTTGCGCCGCATGCGCTTCTATGAAGTGGCTGAAGCTGAAACATGGGATGTTGCTAAGAAGATGGACGAGCATGACTTCCATCTCGAGCTTCCTCATGATGTGAAGGAGGTCAAGGCAGAGTCCAAGGAGAAGGCTGGCAAGAAGAAGAAGAACTCCTTCGGTTTCCGGCAGTTCAGGAATGGCAAGAAGGGAGGTTTCTCCAAGGGTTTTGGTGGCTATCAGCAGCAGTTTGGTCAGGGAGGCTTTCAGCAGTCTGGTCAGGGTGGCGGTCTGCGAGGTCCTTGCTTCTCTTGTCACCAGTACGGTCATTTGAATGCAGAGTGTTCTAACAAGGCAGCAGCAGTTTTGCAAGCAGGAAGAGTTAATGCAGGACATTGACATTTTGCTGTAAGGAACATTGCGCATGCGCGCTCTCAGTCTGTGGACTGCCCGGTTGTATAAACCAGAGAGGAATCTTGTATTCCTTGGTTCGGGTGAACCTCCTCGCCTTTCATATCAAAGGCTTGTTCCTCGTGCATGCTTTCCATTTTTCAGTGACCGATACATGCTGTTGTCTGGTTGACTATTTGTTGGTTCTCACATCCTTTCCTTCTTT